GAAGTGTCCTGTATTAACAAATACATGCACCACCTGAAGTGGCAGGTTTTTTAATGAATCCACTGAATAATCTCAGTGTTTTGTCCTTGCAGATAAATATGCCAGGTAATTTTTAAAATGTCTGTTTGTGTCCTAGTTTCTGAGCCTGTATTCTTTTTATCAACTTGACATGTTCGTGTTTCTGATTAAATTGATTTCTTAAAAAGAGGCGTCAAGGAATTTCATTCCCACTGTTGAATAAACTAGAACCCCTGCTGATGTTTTACGGTTCAACCGTAGAACATCGGCAGGGGTCCATGATTTCAGATCCTCATGAATCTCGTCATGCTCTTTGTGTGGGAATATTGTTTCAGTTACGACTAATCCGTTCACACTACAAAAGTCACATAACCTTTCCCTGTTGTCACTCATGACTCCACATAGCTCTCTCTCTCTCTCTCTCTGCATTTGGAAACTGATCACTGGTGATCAGACTTTAATGCTGCATATTCTAACCCTTCTTTTGTTGTATCCAGGATGTTTATTTGTTCCTCTCTGCAGAATAGACCATTTGATCCAGCTTAAAATGACTGATAGAACTCTAGCATAAAGTGTGACCAACATAATCTTGATTTCATGCGACCACCTCAAAAACAATGTGCTTCTCAGCTGGCCATTTCTGAGTTGCCTTCCTCATGAATTCTCAAAAAATGTTCCTTATAAAAATGACTTGGATTTGCACTGAAACTGATCATATCGGTTATTTAATTTATTTTCATAAAAAGCCAACTCAAAATGAACAACAGTGGAAACCCACCTTACGGCCACCCCACCTTATGGCCACCTCATTATTACAGCCACTTTACTTTGGCCCGAGCTAAAGCTCAGCCAGTCATTCTTTTTTTTTAAAGAACCCCTTTAATACGGCCACCCAGTTAATATGGACAGTTTTTTTTGTGGCCCGTTGGTGACCAGGTTAATGAGATTCCACTGTGTTTCCTGTCACTAAATACCATATCATTCAAAATAACTTGAGGCTTCCTCTCATTAAATGTAACCAAGTTGTCTGGTTGATTTATTGTGTCTATATGATTTAACAGTTGCAAATTTAAACAATAAATAATATTTGACCACAACTTTGTTTCAGGTTTGAGGCAGTGCGTATAACAGATAAGAATAGTACATATGTCAAGTGTCATCAGAATGCTGTTGTGTTTGCACTGTCATCTTTCCAGTATATTCAGCTGTCAGTTGTTTTCTCTGGAAGAGCCCCTTATCGAAAACCATTTTATAAAAGTGGTAAGTAAATGAATGTGTTACATATGGTAACCAGACTAAATTCACACCAAATCTTACTCGAAATGGAGTGACATCAAAATGTTTTGTCTACAGGTTACACTGTATGTCCTTACTGGGTCAGAAAATAAGTATTGAAACTAATAAATTTCAAATTCTGAACAAAATAAGTTTTTATATCAGTGGTGCTTGGAGTTCAAGCAGTAGTTACAAAAATCCTAAAAACAATACAGGGTTCCAACAGGATATGAGCCTGTAATGTTCACTTTACTGATTCAATGCTTTAGAGCCAAAAATCTTTTCTTGTAAAAGAAATAGAATGGCAAGTGACAAAGAAAGGCTGAAAGGTAAGAGTCTTTACCTCCGATGTAGGCCATGTTCCCAAGGTAATCCTTGTCAAGTTAGTGTTAGACATGGTACCTGATTCTTCTGGAAATAATGTTACCACTCAAACTGCATGGATGTTTTTGTGGAGGTTGAGAGTGAGCGAAAAGCCACTTAGACTGTCCATGTGAGTAACATGTACCACAGGATTGGTTATTTCTAAAACCTAATGGGATTTCTAAAACCGAGAGTGATCTAAATATAACTTTTGCGATTTGGGGTATATTAACTCTCTTACCTTTCATCCCAGGGACTTGACCCATGTTTGGGTATGGGTTGCCGCCGAGGGTTTGAGATCCTGACCCCGTTTAGGACAAAAATACTCTAAAAACCCTACCTTGTGTAGGACAAAGAAAAACAAAGTAACTGGACCTACCGGTACGATCTATTCTGTCAATACGCGTTTGTTATAATACTGATAAGTGGAAAAAGAATTTTACCGACAACAATAGCATTGTTGTCCAGAAAATGAGCTCATGTTGATTGATGACCTTGTGATGGCCGGTTAACGTCTCTCGACTCGTAATACCATACCCTGTTAAGGACAGGTTCTGACCCTGTTTAGGACAGACGTGAGTAAAATTGAATACCCTGTTCAGGGCAGTGAGGCCAAAAACCATACCCTGTCCCTGTCTTTACTCCTCAGTTACTATACATGGTGTGATTTCATTTAACACTTTGCTTTTCTTTTCAGTATATTTTCTACTGGTCGTTGTGCTACTAACTCTGTTTACAGGATTTCTAGTGGTTCTTCCAGGACAAGTATTGCAGAAATTCTTTGAGGTAATGGGCAATAAATGGTCATTTATTCAATTTTAATTCAAATAAAATAATAAATTAAACTAATTGAAACAAGAAGAGCGCACACTTGCTATAGGTACCCAATGGTGGCCACACTTTTGAGGTCCATCTTGTTTTTCATGCATTCATGATGGCAATTTTAAACTTGTTTTTGATTTTTATGGTGCTGCTAGTTCCTTAGAGAACCTGGAACCTTGTATCTACTGGCGTACTCAAATTACGTAGAAACATAAGTTTATTGTGAACTTTATTTCCTGATTTCAACATAATTTATGGACAAAAACTCGTAGTTGTAAATTTCAGACCAACCCTTACATTTTCAAAATATCATTAATGTGTAAATATCATGCTTGGGCTACCCATGGTCCATGTCATAAAAGAATGTCCTCACATTTACATCACACAGTAGGAATCCTTTGGACATTTTTGTGGCTTTCACCACCAAAGACCTGGCGCTTATTTCTCTTTATGCATGATACATGTAGCTCTACTGTATAAAACATTTTAAAACAGCTGTACAAGGTCTTGAGTATGGCAGGCCTGAGGTCACAGGCCATACTCAAGACAGTTATATGGCTAGGGGCTATGGCTAGTTAACACAGATAATATTCAGAAAGAAAATATATGTACATTTTTTCTCACCTAATGTAATTTTAGCCACATATCAGAAAACTGATGTACAGCTGTAATATAAAATCTGATATTCCTGGTATCTTTTACATCCAAAATATAGGGGAGGGGAGAATAGCTAAATCCAGTGTCTTATCTCTCATTTTGTCTTTTATACCCAAAAATGGGTTAACCTATCCTTTTTGTCCAAGTGTTGTGCAAGAGAAGTCTTGATCAGTATTGACTTACAAACGTGATCTCTCCCCAGTTAGCAACCATGCCTGACTTAGTCTTCAGGCTAACGCTTGTTGGTATTGCAGCTTGTAATTGTCTCATTTCATTATTTATTGAGGTGAGTAGAAGTTTAAGATGCATTTATTCTAACTACATCTGGCTTTGCAAACAAGTAATTTATTTTTATCATGGACTAGTTGTGAAGATGAGTTACAACCTGCCATAGAAAATACGAGGAGGGCAACATGGGAACTGATCAGGCTGGGCGCATTTACGCTGTTCTCATCTTAAATATGTAACCATTATTCCACAAGCACATCCTGGATATGAGATAAAAGACAGCCAACAAGGCACCTAGCGCCAAGTTGGCTAAAATCATCTCATATCCAACAAGCACGAGTGAAATCATTGTCGTATTAAAAACACCCTCAAAACTAAAATAAAAATGAAAATGAAGACGCTCCAATTTTCCGTGCACTTACCGTGAGTGTAGAGCATGATATTATTGATGTAATAATTATTGTTCATATACCATGATGCCTAAGCCAATGAAAACTCTTGAATTGCATTATCCGATGATCCAGTTTCAAGAGACTTAAGTACAGATTCAGCCCAACCTCAAGACACTGGGGACTGGAATGTAGACCTTGGAGCTATTTGTGGCAGTAAATAAGTAGTTATTAATGCTTCTTGGTAATGGCCTGACTCTTTCATGTATACTTTACTTCTCATTAAGACATTTTTACTAAAATACATTTTCAATTTTAGTGGTGTTCATTTGAGGAATAAAAAAAGGTCAGTTGAGTGATCAGAGCGTAATAACGATGTAATTTGTCTATTGTATTCTTTCCTTTTTACTAGATCTACATTGTCCCTTCTCAATGGCTAAAGAAACTACTCAATTACATCTTCTGCAAGTCACATCCTAAGAATTTCTTTCGAATATTAGAGCACCAACTGGAGCAAGATCTCAACTGGCCTCCTTCACCAAGCTAGAAAGCACTGAGTGCTTTCATCTTGTCATCCAATGTATTAGTCCCAGGGTTGATGTAACCAAGATATTTTAAATGTCATAGGATTTAGATAGGATGTTCTAGTGAACTGATTTCACAATCGACCATATTCATCTCTTCTCTGAACAACTCTAAAATAGCATGAAGTAACTAACAATTTGAACATTCAATTCCTTCGAATATCCACTGCTCATATAGTTCGGTCTGTCTCCCTGTGTTTGCACTTGATTTACTTGTCTCTTTCATTCCCTTGGTCTTATTTTGTTTTGCACGTCAAAGGCAGGGGAATAACTCGAAAACCGCGAAGTTCATTTATCCCCCTGGCTCGACTTTAAACACATACCTTTTCCCTAAGTTATTGTAATTTTCTTCCCAAATGTGTATTAAGTGTGAAGAGTAAATAAAGCATTGTTGCTGCTGTTGTTGTTGTTGTTGTCATATTCTCATAATCTTGATATTGGACTTGACTATCTTGCAACCGAGGCTAATGCGGGGAGTCTTCAAATGCAAATAGAATTTATCCCTTTTAATGATATTCCCCGCAGGAACCTCCATTCCAAGCTAGTTCCAGTCCAATACCAAGAATACGAATATGGTCTCTTGTAGGGATGCACAGAATAGGCCCCAAGTGACTGTTGATGTAACGTCAAACTCTTCTTGTGATTCACAAGGGAATACAAGACAATCGGGAAGGAAAACCTAGCAATTTATCTGAAGTCGTTTGGGTCTTTTTCGAGGCATCCCTTCAATTTTAGGATAAAGACTAGAGATAAACAAGAAGGTTTCGATCTGGCCGAGATCATTTTCAAGTTTCAAATAGTAATTAAAACTTTTGTCGGTTTTAACGTGGAGAATATTTTTTCCAAGTTGTAGTGGTGGGACGATTTCACTGCATCATTCCTTCACTCCTACACTCCCTCACTCTTTCACTCCCTCACTCCTTCACTCCTTCACTTCTTCACTCCTTCGCTCCTTCGCTCCTTCACTCCTTCACTCTTTCACTCCTTCACTCTTTCACTCCTTCACTCCTTCAAATTCACCACAAATTCAAAGACAGTACCGCTTGAGTTTGGAAACAATATAAATCACAGACGCCTTCTCAAGACTTTCGTAAACAAGAGGGTAATGTATTTCATCGCTTTACATTTGGACGGAATTAGTCGAATTACTTGTTTACAAATGTAAGTCATGGAAGAGGTCATTCAACGATCAGTTGACTGTAAAGCCGTCGA